GCATGCCTTCATCTGTTCTTCATGGCGAGACTCCTTATAATGTCATTTTCCCTACTAAACCCTTGTTTTCCATTGAACCTAGAATATTTGGTAGTACTTGTTATACTCGTGATGTTCATCCTCTTGTAACCAAACTGGATCCCAAATCATTAAAATGTGTGTTTCTGGGTTACTCGCGTCTACAAAAAGGGTACTAATGCTACCGTCCGAGTCTTAACAAGTATCTTGTATCAGCTGATGTCACATTTCTAGAACATATTTCTTTCTTTCCCACTTCTTCCACTTCTCGTAAGGGGGAGGATGATGATCTGCTGATTTATCATGTCACTTGCTAGTCAAATAATGTTGCTCCCACACCACCACCAACACCACCACTACCTATTTACCAAGTGTATTCTAGATGACAAAACCCTCATGAGTCCTGATGCATGTTCGACACCCGACTCTTTTTCGGCATCGGATCCAGTGTCCAGTGATCTTGATCTACCTATCGCTCTTCGTAAAAGTAAACGGCAGTGCACTTATTCTATTTCATCAATTGTTTCTTATAATGACTTGTCCTCTTCTTCTTGTTCTTTTGTTGCCTCTATAGACTCTGTGACTTTTTCGAAAATTGTTCATGAAGCCTTATCCCATACTGGCTGGCGAGATGCTATGATAGAGGAGATTAATGCTTTAGATGCTAATGGTATTTGGGATTTGGTGAATTTACCTGTAGGCAAAAAGGCTATTGGATGTAAGTGGGTGTTTGCAGTCAAATTCAATCCTGATGGGTCAGTGGCTCGACTAAAAGCTCGTCTTGTAGCTAAAGGCTATGCTCAGACTTATGGTGTGGATTATTCTGACACATTCTCTCCTATTACTAAATTAACGTCTGTTCGCTTATTCATTTCTATGGTAGCTACTCATAATTGACCTTTACATCAATTAGACATAAAAAATGATTTCTTACATGGTGATCTTCAGGAGGAAGTTTACATGGAGCAATCACCGAGATTTGTTGCTCATGGGGAGCATGGGAAAGTGTGTCATCTTCAAAAGTCTTTATATGGTTTGAAAGTTGAAACAGAGTCCACGTGCTTGGTTTGGAAAATTTAGTCAGGCAGTGGAAAAGTTTGGAATGCAAAAGAGCAAGTCTGACCACTCAGTCTTCTACAAACAGTCCAAATCCGACATTATTCTTCTTGTTGTATATGTTGATGATATTGTTATTACTGTTATTGATAATACGGAAATTTCATCTCTGAAATCCTTTCTTCACGTCCAATTTCACACAAAAGATTTAGGAGTTTTGAAGTATGTCTTGGGAGTTGGGGTGACAAGAAGCAAGAAAGGTATCTTCTTATCATAGAGAAAATATGTGCTTGACTTATTGACTGAAGAAAGTTGGGATCTAAGCCAAGCAGTACTCCAATGCTTCATAATTTACAACTTACTAACGATGGTGACTTATTTGAAGAACTTGAGAAATATAGAAGACTAGGTAAATTGAACCATCTTACAGTAACTCGTCCCGATATTGCGTATCCTGTCAGTGTTGTAAGTCAATTCATGTCTTCCCAACAATTCACCAATGGGCAGCTTTGGAACGATCCTGTGTTATTTAAAGG